TATTGAATAGCTAGTAGTTAACATGGGTCTGGGAACGTCCGCTCCTTGTTTCAGGGAGCCCTACAAATGCAGCAGGTGTGAAGGCGGGTGGAAAATCCTGTACCTCCTCCCTGTCCCCCAGCAAACCCATGCTGGGAGCCTTGCTTGAGATGATCAAGTCAACTGGACACTAGATATGCCCCAGACTAGTGGGGTCTGGTGCCTGAATCCCACAGTTAGGAGAAACTCCAGAAAAGCTCAATCATAGCAGTGTTGGGCTGGAAGGGACCTCAAGGGGTCACCTAGTCCAGCCCCCTGCGCTGACCCTGGACCAAGTAAACCTAGACTATCCGTGAGAGGTGTTTGTGCAACCTGCTCTTAAAAACCTCCAGTGACGGGGATTCCACAACCTCCCTTGGACGCCTATGCCAGAGCTGAACTAACCTTAGAGTCATAAAGTTTTTCCTAATATCTCCCTTGCTGCAGAGTAAGCCCATTACTTCTTGTCCTATGCCCAGTGGACAAGGAAAACATTTGATCTCCATCCTTTGTAACAGCCCTTAACGTATTTGAAGACGGTTATCCAGGTTCCTCTCCCCACCCCCCCCAAAATCCCCGGTCTCCTTTTCTCAAGACTAAACATGGCCAGGTTTTTACCTTTCCTCCTAGGTCAGGTTTTCTAAACCTTTGATCATTTTTGTTGCTCTCTGGCTTCTCTCCAATATGTCCACATCTGTCTCAAAGTGTGGCACCCAGAACTGGATGCAGTACTCCAGCTGAGGCATTACCAGTGCTGAATGTAGCCAGACAGTTACCTCCCATGTCTTACAAACGCCACTCCTGTTAACACGCCTCAGAACGATACCAGCCTTTTCCGCAACTGCGTCACATTGCTGGCTCTTACTCAATTTGTGATCCACTATAACCCCCAAATCCTTGTCAGCAGTGCTACCACCCAGCCACTTAATCCCCACGTTGTAGTTGTGCAACTGATTTTTTTTTTTCTTCTTAAGTGAAGTACTTTGCACTTCTCTTTATTGAATTTCATCTTGTTGATTTCAGGCCAATTTGTCAAGGTCATTTTGAATTCTAATCCTGTCCTCCAAAGTGCCAGCAACTCCTCCCAGCTCAGTGTCATCTGGAGCTTTTATGAGCATACCCTCCAGTCCATTATCCCGGTCATTAATGAAAATATTGGATAGTATCGGCCCCAGGACTGACCCCTGCATGACCCCACTAAATCTGTCCGTTTCCCCCCCCCCCCCGCCAGTTTGATTGCTAACCGTTGATAACTATTTTTGAGTGGGGTCTTTCTACCAGCTGTGCACCCACTTTCCTCTAGACCACATTTCCCTAGTGTGCAATTGATAATGCCATGTGGGACTGAGAGAAGCTTTACTAAAATCAAGATCTACCACATCTACTGCTTCACGCCATCCACTAGGCCAGTTATCCTGTCAAAGATGAAAATTAGTTTTGTTTGGCATAATTTGTTCTTGACTATTGCTTATCACCCTGTTACCTTCCAGGTGCTTACAAATTGATTGTTCAATAATTTGTTCCAGTATCTTTCCAGGTATTGAAGTCAGGCTGACTAGTCTATATTTCTCTGGGTCCTCTTTGTTCCCCTTTTCAAGACAGGTACTGTACTATGTTTGCCCTTCTCCGGTCCTCTCGGATCTCACTCCTCCTCCATGAGTTCTGGAAGATCATTGCTAACAGTTCCGAGATTGCTTCAGCTAGTTCCTGAAGTACCCTAGGGTGAATTTCATCAGGCCCTGCTGACTTGAATACTTGACTAACTTAGCTAAATATTCTTTAACCTGTTCTGTCCCTCTTTTGGCTTGTGTTCCCTCCCCCTTGTTGTGAATGTTGTGCTGAGTATCTGGTCACCATTAAGCTTTTTAGTGCTCCATGCTCCCTGTTAAGCTATGGAGTATTACAACAGCCACAGAGATTGGGACCCTGCCTGGGCGCAGAGTGAGAGACGGTCCCCGCTCTGATGAGCTCACAGTCTGAATAGCCAAGGCAAAGGCGGGGAGGGAAAGCAGAGGCATACGGGGCAATGACTTGTCCAAGGGCAGTGGCAGAGCTGGCAATAGAACCCAAGTGCCCTGCCCATGCAAGAAGGGGGGAAGGTGGATCTTGTGTTTCTCCAGCACTGATGAAGGGCAGCCATCTCTGGGGTGGAGCACAGTGCCAGATTGCACAGCATGTTATGCAGCCGCATGGGGGAGGGGAGTTGTTTGGCGGGTTTCAGCCTTGTTTCCTACAAGCTGCTCACACCGAGATGGGCCTCGATCCAGACACTGGGGCAGCCTCCTCTCTTTGGCTTCACTGCCAGGGAGCGGGCTGGACTGGAATCTGTGACATCCGCTCTGCTTGCACTGAGCTGCTGTCAGAGTGGCAGGGCAGTAGCCCTGTCCCTGGGAGCCAGCCCCATGGCTGATCTGGAGGGTCTTCCTCTGCACATGCTGTGGCTGGGGGGCAGCAGAGAGCCAACCTGACAGTCAGCACTGAGAGCCCTCACACCCCCTGCCTCCAGTTTCAGTCTTGGCCATGCCTGGCTGGTCGTATGCCACCAGCCTCTCTGCCGCCCAGGCACACTCTTCCAGGCTATGTCAGCCCTATCTTCGCCTTGCTGGTGAACAAGAGATGCACCCCAGTCCAAGAGGCCCTTTTGAATCGTTCCCCTGGGATATCCAGCCCCTGATGCTCACAGAAATCCCAGCTCCTCTGCCCCCGCGGGAGCAGTGTGCCCTAGTTTACCATAAACCACTCTGCGCTTGTGAGTACTTTTAATAAAACCAAAGCCAGTTTATCGGAGAGAGAATAGAGATTTAACTAGAAACAAGAGTGAGCGGTGGAGAGAAAAGGTTGCGATACAAAACACAATGCAAAGCTGGGTCAGCACATATCAGTAGTTCCCTTTCCTAGCTAATAAAGTCGGGTTCCCCCCCAATGTTCAGCCTGTTGCAGAAGAACCAGGATCCAAACGTTCGTGAAAACACCCCTGCTCCCCAAGGGGTTTCCTCCGTGACTAGATCTAAAGAACCCTTCCGTCCTCTGACACTGAAACAGTTTTTTGTTCCTGTTCACAGCCTGGGCGAGCCCGGGTCTTGTTGCAATGCTCCTTTTTCACCTTTAAGAGGTTTTGATTGTATGGTGCAAGGCTAGACAATGGAGCCTTGCATTGCATCACTGGCTAAATAGAGGAGGGGTGACAACTCCCTCCTGCCTGCGTGGGCCGTCACCGAGACCTATATCCTGGTGACTGATTTTTTTTTACTGCAAGTCCATAAAGCATACTGTCAGTAGAAATACATTAGTCCTTGCTAGTACCCGGACAATTGTGAATCTTGACAAATTACGAGCTTTCTTTAGACACCTTACAGCAGGGGTGGGCAAACTACGGCCCGTGGGCTGGATCCGGCCCACCAACCGTTTTAATCCAGCCCTTGAGCTCCCGCTGGGGAGTGGGCTCTGGTGCTTGCCCTGCTCCGGCGCTCCAGCCGGGGAGCAGGGTTGGGGGCCTCTCCACGCGGCTCATGGAAGCAGCAGCATGGCCCCGCTCTGGCTCCTACGCGTAAGAGCAGCCAGAGGGCTCCGCTCTGCACGCTGCCCCCGCCCCAAGTGCCGCCCCTGCAGCTCCATTGGCTGGGAACCGCAGCCAATGGGAGCTGCAGGGGCGGTGCCTGCGGACAGGGCAGCATGCAGAGCCGCCTGGCTACACCTCTGGATAGGAGCCGGAGAAGGGACATTCTGCTGCTTCTGGGAGCTGCTTAAGGTAAGCTCTGCCTGGAGCCTGCGCCCCAACCCCCTGCCCCAACCCTGATTCCCCCTTCTGCTCTCCGAACCCCTCAATCCCAGCCTGGAGCACCCTCCTACACCCCAAACTCCTCATCCCCAGCTGGAGGCCTCACCTCCCCCTCACTCCCCAGCCTAGAGCCCCCTCCCACACCCTAAACTCCTCATTTCTGGCCCCACCCCAGAGCCCTCACCCCCTCCTGCACCCCAACCCAATTTTGTGAGTATTTATGGCCCACCATACAATTTCTATTCCCAGAAGTGGCCCTCGGGCCAAAAAGTTTGCCCGCCCCTGCCTTACAGCTTACTCTTGATGGATAAAAATCCTGTAAGACATGTTTGGTGTAGTGAGTTTGTCAGGTCTGAGGTGAGAGTTGTTCGCAAAGAACCAGGGACCCTTTGCCAAGGAGCCTGTGTGTTTCAGCTGGGTGCTGCAGTCATCCTGGGAAAGCCACCATCACTCGCTAAGCTTCCCCTATTCTGAGCCCCAGGCAGAATGTAACTGGATCTCCCACGTGTGGCCGGGATGGGCTGGGGGGGACTAGTAGCTGGAACTCTGCATGGAAGTGAGCGAAGGCTAGATGCAGAGCTGGGTGCATTTGTGCTGTTGGTGCCTCCTACTGATGCTGTTGATTTGTACCGTGGTAGCACCTCCGGTCGCCATTCGGGACCCCCTGGCGCTAGGTGCTGTACAAACAGAACAAAAAGCCAGTCCCGGCCTCGAAGGATGTACACATCTATACTTAGAGAGCGTCTTGACTTGAACGTGGCATGTGACCTGCTGTACATCTGTCCCAACCCAGACCCTTTGCAGCCTCTATAGACCCCATGGTGCTTTTCAACCCTAGAGCCTTCACGTTGGCTTCCCTGGATTTCCCCTGCGATTTCAGTCACATACAAGGTTCTTTCCTTGCTAAACTGCCGTGCGGTGTTTAAACAGCTGCAGCATTCCGTCCCCCTGTGCCAGCTACGTTCTCACCACTTCCCTGTGTGTCCTTAGCACTATAGGGCTTACGGTGATTCTCCTTCTGCTCTGGGACAGGAGGGGGCCTGTGCTGTGATGAGCGGTGGGATCCCGGGGCTGCGAGGGTTGGAGCAGCCGTGATAAGTCGTGTGTCCATGCTGCTTCCTTGTAGCTGGGTGCTGGGAATCCGAGGATGGAGGCGGGGGCCTTGGCCACCGTTGCCCAGGGGCATGGGTAGGAGGCGCAGGGAGCCCTGGAGCATGAATGAGTCACTCCATTTGTCTGTCTCCCACTGCAGGATGTTCCAGACGTTATACAATTACTTTTGGTGGGACCGGCTCTGGTTGCCGGTGAACCTGACATGGTCGGACCTGGAAGACAAGGATGGGCGGGTCTATGCCAAGGCTTCGGACCTCTACATCACCATCCCCTTAGCCTTCCTCTTCCTCATCGTCAGGCACCTCTTCGAAATGTGAGTACCTAGGGGAGGCCAGGTCAGCATCCATTCCTGCAGCCTGGCTGGAGCCAGCTTCAAGGAGCTCCCCCTGGTGGACAGTGAGGGAATATCCAGCCCCTAGGGGAAGCTTTGTCTTTAACGTCAGACAGTTGAGGGCAGATTTTCATAACACTGGGTGCACGTTAGGCGCGTCTGCAAACCCAGATCTCGTTAAGGTGCCTGAGCGGTCTAGAAAATCTGGCCCCAGTTCAAATCCCCACATCCCACTCCCTTCCCAGAGCCAGGAATCCTGATTCCTTGCCCCCTGCTCTAACCACTAGACCCCACTCCTTCCCAGAGCTGGGGTTAGATCCCAGGAGTCCTGACTTCCAGCCCCCTGCTCTAACCCACTAGACCCCACTCCCCATCCAGAGCTGTGAACAGAACCCAGGAGTCCTGAATCCCCCAGTCCAGTGTGTGGGTCAGGGGTGCCTTCTAGGCTCTATGGACACTGGCTCAAATCCTGATTGGGTGGGATGGGACAAATGAAGGGGGAGAATCTCCTTATTTCACGTGGGCTGTGTCTACACTGCACTTCTGTTGGGCAGGAGTGTGAAAAATCTCCCTGACCGACAAACGTTTTACCGATGAAAAGCGCCGGTGTGGATAGCGCTTTGTCGGTGGGAGATGCTCTCCCGCCAACAAAGCTACTGCCCCTCATTGGAGGTGGTGTTATTTTGCACTGCGTACCTTACAAGGGTACAGCTGTAGCGGCACAGCTAAGGTACACAGTATAGACATCGTCTTACACACGCTGTCCCTCCCTCCAAATACTAAAAAGTCATAAACCCAGACTGCATAAAACAGCAGGCAACGGACTGCAGGCTGCGACCTGCACTGACCTCTGAGGGAATGAGAGCGAGCTTGGCAGAGGGTCTCTAACCTCCTAGCTTCTAGGAATACGGAGCATGTGGCGTATATTTATATGCACCCGTCCCAGGCAGCACGGCACAAACGCTCGCATTGTGCACTCCGGCCCCCGATCCCGAGTATCTCAGCAATGCTGGGGGCTGAGGCAGGAACAGCTGGGCTGAGGCACTAAAGAGCAATTTGTTGTATAAACCACCGTCGTGGTGACAAATGGAGACGGGAGAACAGAGCTGGCTTTGTTGGAGGATCGGGCACGGTGGGTGGGCAGAGCTCCATCGGGAGCTGTCCGCCCGTGTTGTGCGTGTGCCCTGGGTGCTCTATGCCTGTGAGCATCTTGCTGTGATCGCAGCTGGATGGGAGGAGCAGCGTGAAGCTGGGGGAGGAGGGGGCTGGGTTTCTGTGGGGATGTCTCCCCACATGTTGTCAGCAAACCACCTTGGATGCCCAACCCCTGTGGGGTGAAAGCAGGGGCCTTGGACTGGGAAGTAGGGGGCTGGAGATGTTTCTTTTCTATGTAGCAAAGGGAAGATTCACAGCCCTTGACTTTTTCTTTCTTTCTATCTTTTCTCACCCATTTTCTTTTTTCCTCTCCCCTCAGTTAGACATACTCAGTCTTTCTCTTTGCTTTCATATCATTCACTTCGCTCTCCCTGAGCCTTTCTTCTCTTCCCTCAATTCATTTTTCTTTCGCTCTGTCTCCCCAGCCATCATTTCAGATCCCTCACTCTGATTTTTAATCCTTTACTTCCCCTGCAACTGTCAGTCACCTCCATTCTGGCAGGTCTTCTGATCAAAACACCCACATTGGTGACTTTAACTCTTTGCTCCAACTGCTGGGAGTCAGGACTCCTGGGTTCTGTCCCCAGCTCTGGGAGAGGAGTGGGCTTAGAGATGGGGAGGCTGGGAGACAGGATTCCTGGATTCTGTTCTCACCAACTGTATGACGCGGGAGTGAGTCCAGTCCCTTCTCCATACCTCAGTTTCTCCATCTGTAAAATGGGAAGGATGTTAAGATTCCTCCCGGGCCATCTGCGGGGCATAGCTGCACCCCTTTGGCCCAGGTAGGTTTGCTCTATCATGTGGATTTGACTGCCACCTAATGGCCACTGCCCAGCAGAATTCTTGTCAGTGACTTTACAGGCGGCTTTGGAGTTCTGATTGATTGAGGGAATTGATTGTCCATATGGATTTGTTATGGTAGGGCCTACAGGCCGAGCAGTAACGGATGTGTCTTTGCCAGAAGCTGCACAAATGTAGGGTGAGACGGTTCCTGCCCTGAAGAGTTATAACCTAATAATTAGGCGTATTATGGTAGCACCTAACAGCCCCATTGTGCCAGGTGCTGCGCACACTAATAATTCCTCCTAACTCTTCCGTGGCACTTCCCATCAGTAGATGGCAAACTGCTGTACTCTAGAGAGCCGTATCCTCCTCCCCTTTGCACAGATGGGGGAAAGCAGCAGTGCTGTCCCTTTTCCAGACTCTGGCCCCAGGTTATAACAACGCCGGATCGCCACAAAGGGAAGGGCCTCCATGTTCCAAAGCATTATTCTAACCATGTGTTTTGTGCCTGTGCTCCCCATTCCTCTCCCCCCCCCCCCCTTCACTCCACCCCCAGATATGTGGCTACCCCACTAGCCGGGCTTTTGAACGTCAAGGAGAAGATCCGATTAAAAGCCACCCCAAATCCCGTGCTAGAAAAGTTCTACGCTTCATCCACAAAACACCCCAAGCAGGTACAGTGCATGCTACCGGCGGGGGGAGGGGGAGGGCTGTATTGCCTGCAGCCTGTGACAAGCGTGGCGCTGGGATTGCACCGGGGTGCTGCGGGCGAGGCGTCCCGGGCTGCCCTCTCCCACCTCTGGGAGCTGATCTGTATGGGGCTAGCCGGGCGCCTGGGGCGTTAATGTGATGGTATTAAATGAATCTGGCTCTGTGTGTTGGAAGAAACCAGGAGGCGAGTTGAGGAGCTAAGTGGCTGCATTTAGGGCTCGGGGGTGCTTTTGCATGCGGCTTTAGTGATGCAGAGGCTAAAGCACTGGTCTTTCCCCCCGGTGGGGGGGGGGTCCATTCCTGATCATTACAGGCGCTCTGCCTCATCCCCAGTAGGTCGCTGGCCAGAGCGGCAGCCTCTGCCCAGGGGGTTCCCAGAGCTGGCATAACAGGGAGGAGGTACCAGGCAGGATTGAGGGGCATTGGCACAGCTGCTGGGGCAGAGGGGGAGCCCCGGGCTGGATTAGCAGGGGGGATGTGGGTTGGGATTAATGGGCCTAAGGCTGGGATAGCAGGGGGCTGCCGGGTGGGAGTGAGGGGCACCGGCAGAGCTGGGGGTGTGAGGAGTTGGGATAGCAGGGGATGGGGGTCAGGAATGAGGGGCCCAGGCAGAGCTCTGTGTGGGGCAAACCCAGAGCTGGGCTAGCCAGGGTGGTACCGGTTAGGATTGAGGGGCCCCGGCAGAGCGGTGTGTGCGAGGATAACAGGCTGCGGGTCAGGATTGCAGAGGAGCTGGGACCCTGCACTTGTCTGGTTCAGCCCGTGTGCTTTCAGCTTCTCACTCTCTCTGGCACCAGCGCCCCCCAGCCCTTGTGGCCACTGGCTCTGAAAGCTCAAAACAAACCCCTTTGCGGCTCCCTGGGCCTGCAGCTCCCAGCCTGTCTCTGGGCCTGGCTGCACGGTAACAGCGGGCTGTGGCTGCAGCGGGTGTAGACAGACCCGATCTAGCTAGCTCAGGAGCAGCGAAGCTGCAGCAGCACCGGCTCAGGGCCCGTCTGGGCTCCTGGAGAGTTGTTCACGGGCTAGATGCCCCCACCTGGCACCTTCTCTATGGCCAGTACCTGAGCTCATGAGACCAAAGCGAGCCGCCATTGCACAGCACTGATTGCCAGGCAGACACCCTTTGCCTCCCCCGGCACATGTGGCTCCTGACTCCCACTGACCACCCTGTCGTCTGGTCCTGGGGCCCAGCCAGCCCCTGGGTCGCCCTGGTAACCACCCCCGGGTCTCTCCCCTCCCAGGGCGACATCGAGATGCTCTCCAAGAAGAGCGGCTGCGTGGTCCGGCAGGTGGAGCGCTGGTTCCGACGCAGGCGCAACCAGGACAGGCCCAGCTTGCTCAAGAAGTTCCGGGAGGCCAGGTAAGAGCCTGGTGCCGCTCGCCCAGCCGTGCAACGGCGACCCTGTCGCACCCTGGTGTCTGCAGCGCCCCCTGCAGCCCATCTCCCTTTGAACTCGGGACCGCCTTGTGCTCTCTGCCGAGCTGGGCACCGTGGGGTGGACCTGGGGCTCTCACGGTAATGAGACCTGGCAGGGGTTGGCGGGTGGGTGGTTCTCCAGTGGTGGTGAAGGGAGCGTCTGTGGGCTGTGAGCGCTGGAACGGCGGCGGAGGGGGCCCCGGGATTCCATTTGGGGTGATCCCCTTAAGCCCATAGTGCCCTGTTGCCCCCGTGCGCTGCATCAGAACTGACTGGGCTGAGCAGGCAGGTTTGGTGGTGGGGGGGAGTGCATGGGAGCGGAGGAGCCTATTCCCTCCCCAGACCAGCTGGGCTCTGAGCACAGCTCCAGCTTCAAGGTGAAAGGCAAGAGGGTGACAGGATTGAGGGGACTCTTAAAGCCCAGCGGCTGCAAGGCTAGCTTGCCCCCGCTTTCTCACAGGGCATAGGACAAGGCTCCGTCCCTGCTAGATCACGAGATAGGCACAGAAAGGGGCCCCGGTGACCCAGACGGGCACTTCAACCCTGTGTCCCCTGGGCCGGCTCCCTCTGGAGCTCCCAGCGTCTGGGGCTCCCTACCTGCCCTTCCCATGACGTGTTCTCTCTCCCCTTCACCCCGCCCCGTGCTCCTCTGTTGAGAACCATCTGCTTCCTTTTTCCAGTTGGCGATTCACCTTTTACCTTATTGCTTTCATTGCTGGCATGGCCGTCATAGTGGATGTAAGTAAGATCTGCCATTTCGACCCCTTCCCGGTCTCTCGTCCCGTCCTGGCCAAGCTGCCCTGCTAACCCCTGCCCTGTCTCCCCCCTCCCGCTTTTCCTCACAGAAGCCCTGGTTCTACGACTTGAAGGAAGTGTGGAAAGGGTACCCGATCCAGGTGAGTCCAGCGCGCGCCTGCTGTCGGATTAGCGCCCTTGCACAGAGCCGGCTGTTTCTCTCCTTCAGCTCCACAAACGGAGAGAGTTTTGGCTCGTCTCAGCCTCCAGCATAGCTGCCTGGTCAGCCAATGAAACACAGCACGGGCTCCCTGCTTCATTGGGACGCACGTCCATCGGTGCCCGTGCTCCGAAGTCAGGATGGTTACCTGGCAACTACTCGGTGGTTAACATCTCCTTGGAGGGAGTTCTGAGGAATTGCTGGGATACGTGGCCTCTGGCCACCTAGGAAATCCAGGGTGATGTCAAGGCTCCGATCCTCCTGCTTCCAAAGTTCAGGTCTCTGCCGCTTGAGCTACAGGAGAATCCCCATTCGTTCTGTGCAGAATTGGGCTTATGGCACACAGCAGTGCCATTCTGATCCCATCCAGCAGAGGGCGCGCGCACATGCTTCAGCAGAGCATTGTTACGCTGAGCTCTCTGGTCCCGTTTTCCTTGCAGACCACGCTGCCGTCGCAGTACTGGTACTACATGATCGAGCTGTCGTTCTACTGGTCCCTGCTCTTCAGCATCGCCTCGGACGTGAAGCGCAAGGTAGGCTGTCTCCCGCGTGCCTGGCTGTGCAGGGGGGATGGATGGAGATCCATGTGCGTCCCCAGTCCCGGACTGCCGCTGAATGGGGAAGAGATCTGGCGGCTCTGGGCTGGCCCTGCCGCCCCTGCGGGGGTCTGGAGAGAATCCCCTGTGCCCTGATCAGTCCTAGGCCTCCAGGACATGGGCGGGGAGGGTCTGCTGGGGTCAGAGGGCTTCTGCTTGGGGCTGCCTCCATTAGCTCCATAGGGCGAGCAATGGCCCCCAAGCCAGCCCTGGTACTAGGAATGTGGCCCTCCCCCCCCGCCCCCCCCGACATGGGTGTAGTTGCTTGGTGATCCCCAGGCAGCCCCTCTCAGCCCCCCTTTGGGATATCGCAGGGGGGGCACATCTGCCTCCCTCCAAGAGAGGATTCTGTGTCCAGGGCTGGGGGTGTCTGGGCAGTGCTGGACAGGGAGGGTCTGGTGTGTTTGGGGAGGGGTAGGTGGTTTGGCAGGGCCAGGTGTATCTGGGGCAGGAGGGGCTGGGCTGGGGTCTGACCCCTCCTCTTGTTTGTTGGGGGGTTAACCCCTTCCTTTCCCCTCCCTTCTCTTCCTGGCAGGACTTCAAAGAGCAGATCATCCACCACGTGGCCACCATCATCTTGATCAGCTTTTCCTGGTTCGCCAACTACATCCGGGCGGGGACGCTGATTATGGCCCTGCACGACTCTTGCGACTACCTGCTGGAGGTGAGTGCAACCCCCCACCCGGTCCCCGTGGCTCTTCCCCATGGCTGATGCACCACACGACCACGATGCCAGTGAGAGCAGAATCCCTGGCGTCCCCGTGAAGCCAGTGGGACTCACTCCCATGGGGTGGGGGGGCTGCCCCACTGAGCCCGGCACAGAACCCTGGAGTCCAGAGACCCAGGGTTGTGAGTTCAATCCTTGAGGGGGCCATTTAGGGAACTGGGGTAAAAAAAAAAAAATCTGTCTGGGGATTGATCCTGCTTTGAGCAGGGGGTTGAACTAGATGACGACCTGAGGTCCCTTCCAACCCGGAGATTCTGTGATTCATCCCTGGTCTACTTGGACTCTCAGCTCCTTGGGGCCGGGGACAGCGTCTCACTCTGTGACTGGGCAGCACCTGGCACACCGGGACCTCTGGGTGCTGCAGCAATACACGTAATGTGAAATGGATGACTGCGTTTCATTGAGACATCTGTCATTGGGAGCTGGGGGCTGCTCTCCAGACGCAAGCCCTACCTGAAAATCAAACCATGCAGCTGCTGTTAGCAGTGCTGCTCTATTTTAGTGCTTAGAGATTCCAGCTAAGGGCAGGACCCTGTTGTGCAAGGTGCTGTAGGTACAGAACGAGACCCGGCCCCTTCCCCAAGGAGCTCCCAGTCGAGACTGACGAGGGTGGGAGACAGGCAGGATTTGACAAGTGGGAGAGCCCGCGAGAGACGCAATGACTCATCCAAGTCTCCCGAGGCCCACGCTCTGCCCCCAGCTCACATCTCCCACGCCTCAGAGGCACTGCACTTACTGTGGCCTTGGCCTCTCGCCCCCAGTCTGCCAAGATGTTTAACTACGCCGGCTGGAAGAACACCTGCAACAACATCTTCATCGTGTTCGCCGCCGTCTTCATCGTCACGCGCCTCATCATCCTGCCCTTCTGGTGAGCAAGCGCCCCAGCCTCTGACCGTGGCCTATTGCTACTCCTAGGCCTGGGACAGCATTGCGGGTGGTGGGGCGGGAAAAGCTGGCTGTTGGAGGATGATCCAGGAGTTTCATCTACGTGGCAGAGCTGGGAATAGAACCCAGAGCTCCTGAGTGCCAGTCTGGCCCTCTAGCCACTAGGCCACGCTGCCAATTTTGCTTCTGAGCGGCGCGAGCCAGGAGGGTCGCGTAGCCGCCCCACTTTCAGTACAGCGAACATGTCTGAGGTCTCCTGTGCTCTCCTATAGGATCATGCACTGCACGGTGGTCTATCCTCTGGACCTGTACCCGCCCTTCTTCGGCTATTACTTCTTCAACTTCATGATGGTGGTGCTGCAATCGCTGCATGTCTTCTGGGCGTATCTCATCATCCGCATGGCCCACAAGTTCATAACTGGAAAGGCAGGTTCACTTTCTCTGGCAGGGAGGGAGGAGGGGGTGTTTTTGTTTTTTCCAGGTCACCCTTCACTTACATTGGAACCCGGGGGCCAGGAGGGAAGCAAAGTGAAGCCACCGCTCCGGGGAGGATGGGGAAGTGGAAGAGATCAGCAATTTTTAAGACCGGCCAGGGGGCGTTTTCTCGTCTTGATTAATGGGGACAAATAACAGGATGCAGACAGGGGTGTTTATCGTAGGGTTGCTCGTTTGTTTGTGGTGCAACAGTGCAGAGATTCCCGTCAGAGGAGCAGAGGGGTGTGTGTGTGTGGGGGGGGGGTTGTTGGTGAGCACTGGGGGCTCTATTGCCTTTTTGAGGATAGAGAAAAGCTTTTGGTCCAAATCTTCAGGAATTCAGGCGCCTATTTCCCACTGAGTCCTATGGGAATTAGGCACTTAAATCCCAATGAGGATCTGGGCCTTGGGGCTTTAAGCAGCAGCATGATTTGAGGCTCCAGTGGTGCATCCGGGGCCGGTAGGGCCACGTGCTGGCTGGTGCTCTAGGAACGGGAGAAGTTTGCTAGGGCAACAGCATGGAGCAGGGAGAAGCCAGAGCTCAGTAGCGAAGTCCTGGAGCATCTCTGGGGAAGGCAAGGCAGTAGGGGGTCAGTGGGACCTGTGTGCCGCAGGGGTAAACGGGGAGGGGGCCTTTCACATCGCAGTGGTGAGTGCCGCTCCGTTCCAGGCAGTATCTGTTACCATCTGAAGTGTGTGCGGTGGCCCCCATGTGAGATGTGTGGCAGGATTTCACCCAGTTCCCAGTCAAGTGCCTGGCTCACAAAGCCACCTGTGCAGCTGGCACTAATGGAGGAGGGGCAGGGCTGTGGACGGAATGGGCCTCACTAAGCCCCGCTCATGGTGTTCCGCAGGGAAACTAAGGCACAGAAGCAAAACGGGTCACGCAGCAAGTCAGTGGCAGTGCTAGGAACAGACCCCAGGAGTCCTGACGCCCCGCTCGCCCCGTTTCACTTTGATTCGTGAAGCCCCTTTCTTTTCAATCCCTCCAGGTGGTGGAAGACGAGAGGAGTGATCGCGAAGAGACCGACAACACGGAGGAGGAGGAAGTGACGAAGAACGGGCCCCTTTCCAATGGGCACCCCGTCCTGAACAACAACCACCGGAAAACCGATTGATTTTAGGCGCATGTGGAGGTGTCGCCAGCTTGCCACCCGGCCCCACCACCATGGGCATCAGCTGAGGCCAAAACGTCAAGAGAACTTCAGCTTCCACCCTGCCACCGACTGTAGTGCCAGGGTCTCCCTCCTGTCCCCTATAAATAGTTACTCTCCCTCTTCTCCTCAAAACGGATCTAGTGGAAATAGCTGACCCATCTAGGGGGGAGGCTAAAGGAATGGACCCTGGAGTGCCAGCACCAACCCTACATGTGTGCTTAGAATACATCATTTGAGGTCAATTTTCTTTCCTGTCGCTGCAGATGGAAATGTGCCAACTTTGTGGGAGGAGGGGTGGTAGTGCCTTGTGCCACCACCATACAGTAGTGTCTTTTCTCTCTGCATCCACACCCAGCTGCCTTAAAACCAAACTGGGACGCAAGGATTCCCTTCTCCACGACTATCTGGCCCCATCCCCAAACTCTAGGTGGACAGTGGAAGGCACAGCCAGACTGCTACATGAGGGAGAGATGGCAAATTGCTCTCTCTGTTTTTGTGTTTTACACACACACACACACACACACATCCACAGAGAAAGTTGGTGCCAGTTCCTTCCCAATCTGTTTTAGTGGTGAGGTATGGTTTCATTGCCTCTCGAGTTGCTCTGTTCTCGCCTCTCGAGTTTCTGGAAGGGAATCCCCTAGCTGTGTGGCTGGTGGAAATAACGCACAAAAAGCAGAACTCTAATGTCCTCTGAGGGCTTGGATTCAATCGCAAAGACTTGCTCGTTCCCCTTTGTTGTTGGGTTTTTTGGAAACGACTGCAAGCCCTCTCCCCAAACTCCTTTCCAGCTGTAGAGGAAATAAGTGTTTCCATGGAGTTTATTTTGCTTTCTTGGGTACTAGCAAAGGCATGAAATCAAAGCCTAGGCAGGCCAGAGACCATCCTGTCAATTTCAGCTAAGCCCATTCCTGCAGTTCAGGCCCTTCTGGGAGCCTTTCGCTCCGCTGTGGAGTGAAGGAGTTCGGGGACTAAGATGGACGGGTCTCGTTTTGAAAGAAGGGCCTGGTCCCCATTTTGGCTTTGCTACTTGCCACCGTTAGTGAATGGAGGTCAAAGCTTTGGCGGCTGGCTCCCCAGCATGACCGAGATGTGCCCATTGCACCCAGCAAAGCAAAGGAATATGAGGAGCAAAGTCACTGACTTGCTCTGGGGAGCAGGAAGGAAGAGCAGCCAGAAGGAATTTGTGCTCGGTTTACAGCTCACCACCACAGTAACAGACTTGTGGGATCAGGTGACATTCGTTATACCATGGGGGAGGCTAAGTTAAGTAGATGAACGTCTGGGTATTACTGGCTGATTTATTAGACAACACTATTGATACTTGCTGGAAGGAAGCTGTGTGGTTTAGACACACTACCTAGTATCTATTTCGATGGGGATTTAATACATCCCATTGTTTTGCTCTATAAGAATTGGTTCTGATCACCTTTAAGAACGATCTATTCCACTTCCCTTCTAATGTGCTTTTCCCCCCCCCTCCGCCCAGGCTATGAATGGACAAATGAATTTGCAACTGATTTTTTTTTTCTATTTATTTTTTTTTTTTTTAAAGCTAGGACTAAGTACAAAAAGGAACTGGACCGCAGAGAGTCTTTCATGTAAAAACAGATTCGGTGGGGGCTGAAATGCTGAAGGCAATAAAACTTTCCAGGCTAGACAGAGGGATTGGAGAAAAGGACCATTAACCTAACTTCAGACCAAAATGTTGAGTTTTTTAAAAGTTAAAATTTATTAAAAGTTAAATAAAAACTAAAACTTCTGTAAAAACAGGCGTGGTGGTTTCTGTTGGAGTGTGACCCTGTTCCCACCCCCCCATCTGAGGGGTTTGGATCAGTATGAAACACATGGGACAGCTTTCATATCAGCTGTGCTACTCTTGCCAGACTTGAGCTGGTGTGATTTTCACAGGAGCGTCCTCTTGTGGTGGTAACGTGCTCACTACAAGCATCCCAAAGCTAGCAGGGATCAGCTCCCGTTTTTAAGGCATCAAAATAAGCAGCCAGATTTTCAAAAGCGCTCACTCAGCCTGCTGGGGTTTGAGGTCTCCTAGAAACCTGGATGAGGCCCACGGGGAGGTGTGGGGAACTTTTGAAAGTCTGGCCTTTATTGAAGAGCCTGAACACTTGGGGGAACCAAGCCCAGAGTGTGGGTGTTGCATGCTTGGAGAGGGGGTTCAGAACTTCACATGCTTTCTACTGCCCTACTTTTAAACACAACTGGCCTCCCACTTCCTAGAAAAGCCACCTGCTCCACCCCCTCTGAGGCTCCACTGTTGAAATACTAATGTGGCTACGGGCAGCTGTTCCTACAGGCAGCTTGGGAGGAAGGAGCCACTGATTTAACTCTGCTATTCATAGCACTTCTCCATTAGCATTGCAAGATTCCCATGCAGCCCCTCAAATGGACAGTCAGCGAGCAGAGGAGCTTTCAGATGTCCTAGGAAAGGTAATTACTGTAAAACACTTTAAAAGCCATGGTCAAACTCTCTCTCCCCATTAGCAAGGGTGGAGTTCCTTTTCTCTGCTCAGGAGTGACCCCCTTTGCTGGTCCAGGGACCCTCCGTTCCCATGACCCATTCATTTCTGACTAGCTCAGTAGAAGGGCCTGTTCTTTGTAGCTCAGTGCCGTGCAGGGTGGTGACAGTCTGGCCCTGAGCTGGCTTGCTGCAGGCTGGAAAGAGGGAGCAACTGGAAGAGTTTACTTCCCCTAGCTTGGTTCGGTCACGCTCACTGTGAACTCGGACTTGCCCGTGCCCCTTGCTGCGGTTTGACAGCTGGTGCCTAGGGATCTCCTCTAGAGGCTCTGGCAGATGCCATGTGCTGATTCTGGCAGATTCGTGGTGACAATGCCCACGGTCCAAAGTGTGTTAAGCTAAACATGCTGCGCTGAGTAGAACCTGCTACAGGTTTAGGAGGGTAAAGTGCATCTCTTTGTAAGCACGGTTTAGTTTAATAAGAGACCCCTTACAAGGAAGTCACTCAACCCCTTTGGATGTGCAGGGACCTGGACAGGCTACAGCGCCTCCACCTGCAAAAAGAGGCCTAAAATCACGTGTTTGCTTTAAGGAAAGGAGCAACTTTTAGCTTCACCCGCAGCCATAACCCTTTGGTTTTGGAAAGCTTAGACTGGCCCCTGAGAAACCCCATGAGCAGGTCCAAGTTTACTCCCGCCTGTGTCAGCAGGTATGTCCTCTAGCAGCCCAGGCCCCACTAGAATTACTGTCACTTTGAAAGTGACTTGGATTTTACCACTTCAGTTTCCATCGCTAGATACCCTACTTGAAGAGCGTTTTAGGAGGAGACCGACTCATTAAAACTAAGACGCTCACTGTTCTGTATCTTGGGTACATATGTAAATAAATTAAGTGCCCCAGACATAATGAGCTGTTTTTTTTGTGATTGTTCACCCTGCTAAAGCCAGGTTGTGTGGAGGGGGTGCAGCAGCCTCTTTGGGGCTTGTTTCCAGCCCCAGGAGATCAAGCTCCTCATGCAAACCTGCAGCTGCCATTAGATGCACTGTTCTCTGAGCAGATATTTTTAGATTGGTTTCCATTGTGAGCTACGTGCCCTGGCATCGCTAGCCGCAGGGAAGGCTGGGCGAAGGAATTTGACATGTACTGCCCTGAGGAGGGCAGTTGTCATGCAAAGCTCTAAGAGGTAGTGTGCCTTCACCTGGCAGGGGGAAGAGCATGCTGTAGTCCTGGCGCTGCAGATGTTAGTCTGCTATTTGCTGGAGCTATAACTTAGCCCTAGAACAATCTAAGCATCTGCAGCTGTGTGACTGAGCACCAGTCTCCTGAACCTCTGGTTTCATACCCTTCTTGCTTCCTCGAGCTAGACAAGGTGAGAGAAGTTGGTCCCATAAAATATTACCTCACCTGCCTTGACATGCTCATACTCTAGAACCAACATGGCTACTACAAAGGGTTCTCCAGTTACAGCAAGTAACCGTCTTTATCAGCTTTGGTCTAGGTCTACTGCAGTCAGAGGAGTTATGGGCCGGAGTTAATCATGCCTGCGGTGAGTAGGTACAGCCTCCCTTGCTACAATTAAGTTTGATCTTATTCCCTCCACTTCTGTATCATCTGGGAGCAGCTGTATAGAAGCCTCCCGCCGTACGAGCCATAATGGGCGCTGGCAGTGCCTTAAAGACCTGGGTTTGTTCACTAACCGACAAGTGATTGTTGGTCCCAGTGTCCAATTCCTAGGCAAGATCCCATGTGCTCACTCCTGTTCGCCTACTACCTGAGCCCCCAGCTTGCCTCTGTCTAAATCCACTCCTGGAAGTGATGCTTTCCCACAAGCAGGCCCCAAGCCACTTTCAAGTTCACGCTGTACTGCAGGGTGGGGGTATTTATTTTTGTTTTTTTTTTTTTTTTTAAGGAAAGCATCCATTATTGCTTTCAACAGCCACCAGGTTTTGTTTTTTTTAACAGCATGTTCAGCAATACCACAGGAAAATCCCAATACAGTTCCTGGATTGGATGATCTACCCCTGGCCTCTCTGAAATGCTTCCCTTTGAGAAGAAGAGGGCACCAATTCTAAACTGTAGTTGCCCTAGTTTTTTGGGGATGGGGGAATTTGACATGGCAGACTTGGGTGCAACAGAGGCTGGCTGGAGGATGGCAAAGCAGGGGACCCTTCTGTAATGCCTGCCTAGTGTGTTTCATACTTGAATTGAGCTGACCGCTATTAAGTCTCACAGCTAGCTGAATGCCTGATCAGTGCATGACCCAGTGAAGACCGAGATCCACAGCAAAGCAGTAGCATGCTGGGAACATTGCTGTCCATCTCAGCCCTGCACACAAAGCCAAGCGACCCCTGTGTTAGCCTGATCGTGTTGTGGTCTGTGTACCTGTGGGCATATTTTCAAGTGAACAGGGCAACTCCAAGTTACTGTAACCAGCTTTGTAACAGCTACACTTACAAATAAACGCAGTGTAATTAGAAACCGCTCGAGATGAACTACAGTACGTCACCCTCACAGACAAAGGGTTGGGCGGGGAGGGGAGGGACAATGCCTGTGGTTGAGAATCAACCTTTTTCTGGCTCAGAACAACTGGAGCCCTGGGGAATCCAGGGCCAGCAGCCCATGTCCTTCACGATGCGGGCACCAGCGTGGTTAGAGCAGCCTGCCTCGGCATTCGATAGCGCCACAGCAGCACAGGAGTTCCTTGCCCTCCACGCTGCCCACCTCGTAGTTATAATCCCAGGTCAGCTCAGTCCCGGCTCGTATCCTCCTGAGAAGGAAGGGAGGCACATGTGTTACTTAGCTGGCGCACGCAGTTGCTGGCCTTGCGGCCGGGAGATTAGGGTAGCTGCCAGCAGACACAGCGCAAAGCTTATGCTTGCTCATCAGCGAGCTCCGTGCCTTGGCAGCGCCCGCAGCCTCGACAGAAGATAAGCATTTCGCCAGCTTTGCACAGAAGCAGCCTGCGTGACGAGAGGTGGATGGGGAGAGGGCGGCGTAGCCAGCGGCTATGGACCGAGAGGTTTCCCTGCTACGGCCAGA